TCTTACTTTCGTCGAATTCCACCTAATTTGGATATCACTTTGGTGCTAATCATTATGCAAAACATAGTTATTGTGCTTCATTATGCTCATAATGGGCAGTCATAGGTCTGTTTTAAAATCTCCCTCATGAGATGTACATAATAACTCTCCATACAAGTTTTTTTACACTGATTATTCATGTTTATACAATCCAAATGAAAATATGGATAATGTGCATGAGCATCTTGTAAATAATTAAAATATTTTGTGATAATACTTTATTATATATGATATTTCTCTAAAGTAAAATTTCTTAAAACAAATTCTCGAGATAATTACAAACAGGCCACCCAAAACTTCACATTTACAAATTAACCACCCTCTTTCATCCATTTTTCAAATTCTCACTCAAATATAAAAAATCATGATAGAACTCCAACCCATATTCTCCATTATCATTAAATTCTCAATAATTTGATTGTGGCATTCGTAAATACATCAATTCAGTAGTTCAACAAAATCACATATTCGTTTGATTTGTAAATATCAATATTTATGATGGTCTAAATGTAATTATCCCTATTTATAATTATCATAAGGTTTTTTTTTACCATTAATTCCATTGAAAATCTTTCTTCTTCGATGCGCATCCAAGCTCTTGTCAGGTAACTTCCAAGGAACAAATCCCATAAGTCGCAGTTTCCCGCAAGGAAAACGCATTCAAGATAAGCAAGTTTAAGCTAATTACTTTTAATTATCATTAATTACTATAACCAATAAACCTTAAACTAATGTTAATAAAGCCCATTTGAAATGTTATGTTGAAGTGATGGAAATGGTTAGCCATGAAAGTGAAAGAGTATGATTGTTATGAATGCAAATAGAAAAAAAGACTTTGACGGCATTTATGCAAATCATCAATCAACTTTTGAAAGGTGAATGTAATTATATTGTAAATGAAGGGTTGAACTGTTGAAGGGAGTTTGTACAAGGGAAGTTTATCTTCAGGAGGAAAACGTGACGGCACACATAAATTAAAATTGCACGGAAAAAGATTTTGATGGCCTTTATATCAGCAAGGTGTGATGTGAGTTTTTAAGGTGATTGACCTTCAAATATAATGTGTGCTGGAAGGTTTGAGGCGGTAGAGTGATTATTTAGTGTTTTGATATTGTACGAAAATTCATCACACACTTGGGTAATTAAAAGTACTTAGAAGGAGAAACATCAGCATTTTATGTGGAAAATCGCGTAAAGGGTACATGAAATTACAAAAATTGATGTACAGTGGTATTTCAACAATAATAACCATGATGAGTTACGAAAGCCGTTGTTGATTGTTATGGAGTTAATAGTCTACCGTGAATGTTATGAATGGTGGTTGTAGCGATAACTTGTAGTAGAGATTGCAGTTGAAAATCATGGTAATAGTTAGTCATGTGGGTCATAGGTTGTTGCTTCAGGAGCGTCGATTAGTCATAGAGACCCTAATAGGGAGCTATAGATGTTTTGAGCCACGTAGGTCATAGTTGGTCACATATATCGTAGTGGTGAGTTGTGATAATGTTTGAACCGTAGAGGCTAGAGTTGGGTGTTGCATGAACTATGAATCACGTAAGCCATAGTTGGACATGTAGATCGTAGTAGTGAGTTATGAAAACATTCATAGGATGAAGATGTCGAAGTTTAGAGTTGCATGAACTGTGATAACATTCGTAGATTGCAGAGGCTAAAGTTGGGAGTTTTATGAATGGTGAAAACGTCTGTAGACCGCAAAGGTCGGATTTAGGTGTTAAATGAGCTAAGATAGTGTTTATAGGTCACAGAGGTCAGAGTTGGGAGCTGAATGAGCTGAGATAACATTTGTAGGCCGTAGGGGCTGGAGATAAGAGCTGTATTGAGCTGAGAAAATGTTCGTATGCTACAGAGGCCGGAGTTGGGAGCCACATAAGTTATGATAATGTTCGCAGGACACAAAGGCTAGAGTTAGAAGTTGTATGAGTTGTGATAATGTTAGCAGGTTGCAGAGACCGAAGTGGGGAGTTACATGAGATGCAGATCACATATGTTGTATTGGTGGGCTACAAGGAAAGTGTTTCAGGAGTCCAGAGAAATTCATTGAATCCTGAGTACGCCAATTGTAAGCTATTAGTGTGGGATGTATTATTACACCGTCTTTAGGAGATGTCTTTGAACTGTATGCAGGGTGTGTCGTTATATTGTATTCGAAGTGCGTTATTACACCATCTTTAAATTGTTTCATTGCACTGTATTTAGACTGTGTTGCTACACCATCTTTATGGTGCGCCATTAAATCATCTTCGGGGTGCAATGTATGACATGTTGCACTGTATATGGGGTGCGTTATTGCATTGTATTCAGAGTGTTTTGTTACACCATCTTTGGTGTTCCTCGTTGCACGGTGTACTGTATGACATATTGCTTTGTTGGGTGCTTCATTGTTCCACAATGTGCATTGGGATTCAATAATGTACGTTGTAACTCCACAGGAGGTTTCATCGCAAAGAGCACGTGGCGACCAATGGTTGTCAATGACAATCGGCGAGCGGTGGTCGGTTGCTACATGAGCAGGCAACATTCACTTAACCCTCTGTATAGAACACGGATATTGCTCTGGTTCAAGGTCTAGGTCCCCTCTGAAGAAGGGATTAGGCTCTATTTATAGAGTCTAAGAGAAGTTTTCTTGCAAATAAGAAATGAATATCTACCACACCATCAAATGACCCATAAAAGATTCCTCGATCACAAGGCGTTTTGTGGACATTTGCGTGTCTTATGATGTCATAATTAAATGATCTTAAGCTCCTTATATTCATATCGTCGAGACTTATGATTCGATTATAAGCTTATTAGATTTGTAATCCGTTTGATTTTCCAATTGCATACTGGAAGCTTCCAAAAAATCATCTAATGACTAGACCCGAGCTTGATTTGCCTCAGATTAAACCAATTTCGGTCTCATTGTCTCATCGAGCTGGTCAATTCGACTACAAGTGAGCTTAAACCAAAGTTCTATGTTATCTTTGATTGAATTTTGAATATTTCTTATTTAAAAATTATTTCGAGATTCGTACTAAGTCACAACATCCATTCCACATATTTAAAATTTGTTGACCTCATTTCAAAATATAATAATTTTAAAATAAAATAAAAAAATTATATTTGAAATTAAGTCCTAAGATTAAGCTCTTAAAAAGTTAATTTTGATTTCATTAATTTCAATAATTTTTTAGTGTTTTGACATTCAAGGTTAGTTATGATTTCTTTATTATATGTATATTTGGTATAACAGATTAATCTAATTGGACTTTTAAGGCACGATATGCATGGAATTTAATTGGACTTTGATGATAGACCTCTAAGATAATGTTTTAAGTAGAATATGAATAAATAAAACATATAAAAAGCTGTTGTCAGAATGAAGAGACAAGTGGTCAAATTAGAATAAAAATAGTTTAGCCAAAGTGACATTTACATACATACCACAAAATTCCTATGTATTTAGATATCTCCAAACTACATATAACTTTTTATATTTATACCTCCCAAACATCAGCATTTTCATTTAAGGTGGTATGCATGTAAAAATTGAAGTTTGGATGTCAAATATGTAAATACATTGGAATCGAGTGGTATGTATGTAAAAAGTAAGACCATTTTCAATTTTGTCTCATACCTAATATATATTTTTTTAAATGCTTAACTAATTAAAAAATAGGATATATAATAATAATAAAGTAAATAAATATGATATTAATTATAAATTAAGAGGGCAAAATGACAATTAAATATCAAATTTCATGAGATAGAGCTAATTCAAGTCAATGGCTAGACTTGTACATAATAAATTTACTCTTAAAACCAAATAACATATCTGTTGAGCTTAAGCTTTTTTTGTCCCCCTTTGGGTAATTGCAATATATATATATATAGCATCTATATATATATATATAACTCTAGTAAAGTGTTATAAATGTAAATATCAATAGCTCCGTTATTTATTTTTAAAAATAAAATATATATTTCATGCATAGATTCTTGACAACAAAATGTTGTATATATAAATATATAAATTTGGGAATTAGATATGTAAACATATAAAATTTTTATGACTTTATATAAATTTTCAAAAAAAAAAAAAGGATAATGGGTCATTTACATACCACATAATTCTTAAGTATTTATGCATGTACATATCTAACAACTTAATATTATATTTGCATCTGTCTGAGTTAATAGTAGCTTATAAGTGCGGGATCTTTTTAAAAACGGCATCATTTGGATCCGAAAATGCGGTCCAAATGATAAGCTTATCTTTGCCGTATTGTCTGTTTACCGACTTTTTCTTAATATTATATTTGTCGTATTGTTTGTTTATCCGAAAATGTGGTTTCATTTTTACACTAAACGCAGGCTGCGGGTCGACCCACTGGCTAATTCCCACTGTTTCATGATAAGCTTATCCTGAAAGCGCACAAGCTGCCGCTAGGGCTGATGTTCGGCTCGTTCGAAATAGCTCGTGTTCGAAATCGGCACGTGTTCGAAATCGGCTCGTGAACACTGTGTTCGTGTTCAGCTCGATTTAAATATTCGTGTTCGTTTTCGGATCATGTTAGGCTCGAAATTGGAAAGAAGACACTAACCACATTGCCACATGAGGTGTTATGATTTAAATTTAGACATAAATATATATAATATATTATTATATAAATAATATATGTAATATATTGTTGTATAAAAAGTTATATAATTTTTTTTTCGAGCCAATTCGAGCCGAACATGAGTGAACAAACTGTTGTTTGTGTTCGGCTCGTTTATATTTCGAGCTTAAAAATTTGTTCGTGTTCGACTAGTTAGATTTATCGAACGAGCCAAACACAAGCTGCTAAACGAGCCGAACACGAACTGTTGACGAGCCATTCATGAGCCAAATTGACAGCCTAGCTGCCGCGCACGCTTAAATACAAGACGAATTAGGAAGGAGATTGGCCGAAAACAAATCCACCGGCATATCCTCGAAGTTTATTCCCTCAACAGGAATATACGTACATACTCTGCAGGAACCTCGGTTTGTTTGAAGACGATGTCGATTCACGAAGAGATATTGAACCTTCAACTGCTTATAATGCACCTCCATTTTCCTTCTCTGTGAGGCGTAAGCAGCTCTTCTCTTCTTCTCTGTTGTTTAGGGTTTTCTTCGAAGCCCTCTCATTCGTCCTCCTTCGCTTCTTCCATTCCATTCTCATTCTTGTGCTTCTTTCGCTTTGGTCTCGCTCTTCAGACGAGTCAGATGACTATTGGGGATATGAAGCCAGACGAAGAAGCTCCTCTGCTTTTGGAGGATGCCGAGGGCTCCTCCAAAACACGAAGGATCGCACTCTTCGTCGAGCCGTCGCCCTTCGCGTAAGGATCCTTTATCTCTCTCTCTCTCTGTCGAAGTTAACCTTTTGCTGTTTTTTTTTTTTTTTGTTTTTTAAATTGACATTGATTGGTGATCGAGTCCAATATCTTGGAATTTTGTTCATTAATTCTGGTATGAATGCTGATTAAGTTTAGCAATGGTGAATAAGTAGGTTGAAACTACGTTTTTGTTTTCGATATATATTTTTCTCTTGCATTGCGTTTTATCTTTTTCATTTTCATTTGCTTAAGGTTTAGGTTTCTAGGAATACTAAATAATAGAACTGATTCTTGATGTGCTTGTATTTTGGCAGTTATGTCTCAGGATATAAAAACCGCTTCCAGAATTTCATCAAATACCTTCGGGAGATGGGAGATGAGGTAACTTGGTGATTCTAAGTTTGAATTCTTTTTTGTTTACTTAGCTGCAATTCCAAAATGATGTTTTTTATATATATGCTGTGGAGGAATTCAATTTTTTTGTTGAAAATATAGATCAAAAATGCAAAAATCATTTAGAGATAAGTTGATTAAGGTTGAGCTTGGAAATTCTGTAAGATTAGGGTTCTTAAGTTGCAGAGCATAAGTTTTTGCTTTACAAAGAAAAAGGTTTTATGCATGTTCAATCAAAGCTCAACCTTTCAATTAGGTCAATGTGAAGGATTGGGAGATGGTTGTCTTGAAATTTTTATTGTATTTTTTGTTTCCCGACTTTTTCTTATAAACAAAAGAGAAAAATAAAAGTAATTAAGGTTGTAACTTTCTATGTTAAACTTATAATTGATTCTGCAATGTCAACAACAAGACATTGCCATTAATTTGGTGAATCTATGTAAAATTTCTTGTGTTTTTGTGCTTTGATCTTTTTTTTTTATTACTTTGGAAGTTTACATAGTTAGCACACAATTCTTATGTATTTGCATAGCTCACACCTAACCTTTCATATTTACACGCATAGCACTTTGTTGCTTTAAACCTATGCATGGAATGGTGCATTTAACTTAAAAAAGTAGTAATAGTGATATCAAAGATTTGAGTGATACGTGTGTAAATATGAAAGTTTACATGTGATATATGTAAATACATAAGAATTGTGTGCTATGTATGTAACTGCCCCTTTATTTTTATGCTCTTTCTCACTCTTTATATCCAAATAAGTTTTGCCTTGATGTTTTGTTTCAAGATGTTTTAGCATTTTTCTTATAATTATATAGGTCATAGTGGTCACAACCAAAGAAGGAATACCTCAAGAGTTCTATGGAGCAAAATGTATAGGCTCTCGCAGGTAATTGAATGCAGCTCATTTGTTAGAGTATTTATTCTTATTCGGAACACATACGTTCGATTCTAGTTGATAATTCTTGTTCATGAGGTTATTTACTATTTTCAGGTTTCTTAAATCATGTATGAGTTTTTTCACTTTGTTCTTGCATTATTCTTTGTTATAATCAGAGTGCTTTGGTCATGTTACTAATGTTTTTCATTTTCTACAGCTTTCCCTGTCCCCTGTATTCGAAGGTTCCACTTTCACTTGCCCTGAGTCCTAGAATCATTTCAGAGGTGGCAAACTTTCGGCCCGACATTATACATGCTTGTTCGCCAGGAGTCATGGTAGTTTGATTCTTCTTATAAATTTTAAGTTGGATATTAGAATTTCTGAAAATTTCAATATGTAAATTCCTAAAATACTCACATTTTTATTAGCAATCATTAATGTAATTTTAATTTTTCTTACTTTTAGCGGCGGGACCATTTTGGCTTCTATTTAGGAGTTTAAAGCTTAAGCCAGTTTTTTTTATGTAGTCTGTGACTAAAATAGCCCCTCATAAATAAATGGGGGACCATTTTTATCATTCTCTCTTTAAATTATTGCTTTTGAACTGTCTTTTGAAAATGATTTGAGTTTATGTTTTGCTTTTGTTTTCAGGTTTTTGGCGCGCTTGCAATTGCTAAAATGCTTTCAGTTCCCATAGTAATGTCATATCACACTCATGTTCCATTGTGAGTTTGTATTGATGGATTAGCTTTTATACATTCAATTGGAGAGATATTAGGGATTGCTAATTATGTGCACCATGTCTTAATTTTCTTTTCTTAGCTTACATTTAGTTGCTTGTAGATAACATAATTTAGAAAGCAAAAAATTTATTTTCACTTTTTTTTTTGTCTTGAAATGATATTGTCACATTTGAGGAATTTTGAAGTATTTGTGCGTAAAAAATCAATTTAACTTCTAATGGAATCTAACAAAATGACAACTTTCTTCAAGCAACCAAATGAGCCTTAAAGTTTGTTTGCAAGTATTGTTTTGTGCTTTATTCTGTTAAGTTTCTCCTTCGTTAGTTTTACCTGTGGCATTTTTGACTTTTGACATGTGCGTGAGGTAAGACTTGTAGACATTTCTAATTATGATATGTAGAATATATAGCACAAAATCCTTAGCTTTGAATAATAAATATGTCGGGTTTTAGCTTTGGATACTTTAATCTCAGGCATATTATTTTCTTTGCATTGAATGATGATATAACCATGATTTTTTGTTTTCTGTTGCTGCAATAATAGTCGCATATTGGCATATTATGAATTATTTGCAAATGTTATTAGTTTCTGACAATACAAATGTTGATATAGCTGCTTTTTTTTCACTTGTAATAATACTTTGTCTCTATTTTGTCTCCTTAACAAGTGCAAGAAAATAAGTGTTTTTCATTTCCTATTTTAAAATTATTTAAGTTTCCTTATTTGCATACATTTTTCATCCATAGCATACAAGCTTTAGTTCTATGTGCACAATGCATGCCTTTTCTATTGTAAACGTACCATATCTTCCTGAATCAAAAACAGGAACATCATTTACATGTTAAAAAAAAAAACTTATAAGCTCTTAAGTATATCATCATGTTATTCTCCTTAAGACTGATTTTTAAGTGATTATATTAATTTACATGAACATTTTTGTGACAATTTCTTAAACCATATAACCCCTCAACTGTTTTTTCATTATCACGAGTCTCTTATGCAAAACAAAATTATAACTTAAATCCAGATCTACTACTTTAGCCAATTCATATCTGATTTCATTGTCCTTGGAACAGATATATACCGAGATATACCTTTAGTTGGCTGGTGAAACCTATGTGGTCAATCATCAGTAAGAATCCGTTTTCCGTATTTTTTCCAAGTTTCTTACCGTAAAGCCTGCAATTTATCTTCTTTTTTGGTCACAAGGGTTCCTTCATAGGGCAGCTGATCTTACACTCGTTCCATCGGCTGCCATTGGCAGGGATCTTGAAGCTGAAAGTGTCACTACTGGTAAAATTATTTTGGAAGATTTGCATACATACCACACAATTCTTTTGTTTTTCCATGTACAACACCTAAACTTCAATCTTCTACATATATGCAACCTTATCTATGCATGAAAGGTGTATTTCACTTCTTAAAAGTTAAAATAATGATATTTTTGATGTGATATGAATGATTCAAGGCAGCATAAATGCAATAAAGCAAAGTTTAGGTGTTAGATACATAAATAGATATGAATTGGGCCATGCATGTAAATGCCCCAATTGTTTTCTGTTGCTTAGACAGTGGATTAGCTATTGATAGTTTACTTGCTTTACAGCAAATAGAATACGCCTTTGGAATAAGGGTGTTGATTCCGATAGCTTTCACCCTCGCTTTCGCAGTCGTGAGATGCGAGTAAGACTAAGGTGCTCCATTGAAATCTAACACCACCCTGTTAGCTTTGAGAGTACCATCTATGTGAACAACTTATATTTTGGTTTAATTCTTTGGTTCTTCCTGGTCAGTGGTGGTGAACCCGAAAAGCCTTTGATAATTCACGTTGGCCGGCTTGGAGTTGAAAAAAACTTGGATTTTTTGAAGAGGTATGTGAAGCTTGCTAATGTTGCTTTCTAGTTTTACTTACTTTTTATATCTTTTTTCTGTATATCTATATATATATATATATATATATATATATATATTATTGTTTTTTTTTTTTTTTTTGACTCCGAATCATGTACTTAAACAGAGTTATGGATAGGCTACCAGGAGCAAGAATAGCATTTATTGGGGATGGTCCTTATAGGTGAAGTTGTTTGGCACTTTATTAACTTGTTCATAAACTTGTAGGCATGAAATGAAAATATCCATTCAAAACTATAGCTAATATTAAACAATGACAGAAATTTAGAATGTATCAGAGATTTTCCAAGCAGCATTTTTCGCTCTAAAATAAGGGGAAAATATGTGCATACCACACGATTCTTATGTATTTATGTATATAGCGCCCAAAATTTCATATTCATATTTATAACACTTTGGTGTCATAGAACAATGCAACAACAACAACAACAACAATAACAACAAGCCTTTATCTCACAACATGAATTTTTTTTCTTCATTGTGTCTTGTTGAGTGTCATGTTTTCATTTAATTCTAATAAATTTAGATCATTTTTTATACAACATATCCAAGTTTTTTTTAGGTCTACCCCTACCTTTCTTAACATAAGTCGAATCTAAAGCTTCCACTCTCCTAACCGAATCATCAAATGGTCAACGTTTAATATTACCAAACCATCTGAGACATGAAAATATGTATTTCATTTTTAAAAAAGATGGCGATGATGGTAATCCATTTAAATATGAATGTTTTGGTGTCAGATATGTAAATACATAAGAATTGTGTGGTAGGTATGTAAATACCCCCAAAGTAAAAAAGACAGGTTTCTCCCGCAGCCATTTTTCTACTTTCAGCATTATTTTTTGTTATAAAAAGCTAATCCTGTATGAACTCAATCGTTTATCAATGACTTGTATGACCTCAGGGGTGACCTAGAGAAAATGTTCAAAAGCATGCCTGCAGTGTTCACAGGAATGCTGCAAGGCGAGGAGCTCTCCCACGCCTATGCGAGCGGCGATGTCTTCGTTATGCCGTCAGAGTCCGAGACCCTTGGCCAAGTTGTTTTAGAGTCGATGTCGTCTGGAATCCCTGTGGTTGCCGCCCGTGCCGGAGGAATCATCGACATCATCCCGGATGAGCAGAGTGGCAAGACGAGCTTTGTTTTCGCTCCGGGAGACCTTGAAGACTGCATGGGGAAGATAGAATACCTTTTATCCAACAAAGAGTTCATGGAAGCCATGGGGAAGGCTGCACGCCAGGAGATGGAGAAGTATGGCTGGAGAGCGGCGACGAGGACGATTCGCAACGAGCAGTACAATGATGCCATCAGATTCTGGCAGAAGAGGAGGGCCCAGCTGCTCGGCCCCATCCGGTGGCTGCTGAAGAGGTGGTTCCGGCTGCCGGAGCTCACATGTGGATGATGATCCGGAGAATGAAAGAAGAAAGAGTTGGGGGGGAGTGGAAGGAAGGAGAAATGTGTAAATTATGAATTGAGATTGCTTTTGGGAAGTGTGGATGATTGTGTAATTGCTGAATGTAAGTTTGATTCTTTGTATAGATTGTAACGGTAACTGCATTGCAGTTGAAATGATTGTTTGCTTCCACGCAAAAAAAATCACAATTATGCACAAGCAGCTGTTATTGAAAAATGAAGTCTTGGTATCTCTTCTTAAGCTATTCTTTTTGCTCTAAAAGATTCAGTTTTTATGAAGATTTACATATGTACCACTTAATTTCTATGCATTTACATATCTCCCACCTTTCCTAAAGTGTGTACTTTATTTTAAAAAAATTATATTACAACGATTTAGGTGGTATAAATGTGAAGGTAAAATTTAGGTATTGGACATGTAGATGCATGGGATTAGGTGTAGGTTTGTAAATGCCCCTTTTTTCTGAAGGAATTTACATAAATATCACAAACTCTTGTAAAATGATATTTATTTATGTAACACCTAAATTTTTTAAATCATATGAAAATACCACTAATATTGAATTTTTTTAAAGTGAAATGGGCCTATTCATGTACATATTATGATGGGATTGAGATACTATATTGCTGTATAAGTAAATATTAAAGTTCAGCTGTTAGTATGTAAATACATAAGAACTGTGAGGTATGTTTGTAAATCCCCTCTATCTAAAAATAACTCTATAAGATTCTCTTATGAAGGAGAATCAGCATAGAACATGAATGACAGATTTAATTTGATTGTGTTTTGACTAGAAGTACATGGTGTTCTCATGCCCAAGCCAATTCTTGACACCCTATATATATATATATATATATGAAGGAATAGCTAGAAAGGAAATGGCCACAACAATGAAGAACGCGCTCCAATCCAAACATAGCTGCACCTTATATATATAATATTATAAAAGATTATAGTTGAGCTACTGAAAATCATTTAAGTTGCCATTATATGCATTATTATTAAAAAAATAATATATTTAATATGTTTATATTTGAAGGGTTATGTTTGGGAATCAATACCATGCAAAAAAAGGTGTAACAAAGGCATTTGTGTCATACTAATTATGTAAAGTGTGGAAAAGAACTTAATTAATGAGAAGTTCTTATCATAAATTATAGAGTTATTTTTCCACATTAGCTTTTAAATCAAATTTAAAAAAATGTTAGGCCGCCCCAAGTAGACCCTAAGTCAATTTTTAAATATCTTATTAATCCTAATACTTATATAAAACCTACCTTAGTTAGGTTGCTCAAAAAATGTTTTGGTTGATATTATATGGCATTGTTAGGAAAATAATCATATTATTCATATTATACTTAACATGACCCATCAAGCTTCATTATCGAAAATAAAAAAAAAAAAAAAAGATGTAAAAAGGCTCAAGGTTTTTACCAATGTAAAGCTTATGATGAGAAAAATTAATGAAAAATAATTTTCATAGATTGAACCCAGTAATTTTATGTTTCAATGAAAATAAAACACTGATCATTATCCTCAAAATTGCCCTGCTCATAATCCTTCACAAGTCTTAAACTAAATTGTGTTATGACTAATTGGAAATGATTAATAAACTTGATGGACTAATTTGATTTCAAATAATCTCCTACAAGTTTACTGATTGTATTCTTTCTTAATGTAAACATGATTAAAATTTTAGTTGTTAACGATTTGCATCATCCATTTTCCATTCCATTTTCCATTCATGTATGCATATGTATTTCAATGCAATTGCTATTAGTTATTGCTTATTACATGCAATATGCAAATACTATTTATGCATATAGTTAAATAGATATTGCATGTATTCATATAGGTAATCATGAATGTATGTATGGAGACATACATTGCAATCATGAATGTGTATTTCATATTTGATTTATTTAGTATAATAAGTATGACATACCTTGATTGATTTCTTTAGTATATTAAGTTATTGCTTATTCATTTCCATTCTTAACAACTAGTTAATTGTTTTATAGATGTTTGAAGAAATTACTCTTCTCGCAAATAAACTGTCAATTGTCTAGTATTTTTCTAAAGATTGAGAACTAATAGAACTTATATTAGAAAATACCAAATTTTTTTTATCTTTTTACTCATGTAACAACATTAAAGAAATTAAAAGTACTACATTATATTAGGGGCACATGAAGAAAATTTTTATGTAAGATTTGAGATGCAAATAGTGAAAAACAAAACATATTAGATGCTAAATGAAGGATAAAAATTACCATAACTTATTTGAGATTATCGACTTGCATTGTAGGTGCCCAAAGACACATATAACTATAGCTCTAATTTAATTCATAAATAGGCACTAACTAAGATAGATAGATTATAAATTCTTTTTAATTTAATTTTTTAGAGCTTTGTGTCACCTCCCAAAAGAGCCCTTATGGGTGGTGGGCAGCCCAAGACTTAAATACTGCTTTTCGGCCCTACACCTAGCCAATGTGGGACTATTTGTCCGTGACATTCTCCTCCACCCAATCACGTGACGCCCTCGTCACGGATCGGCTCCATCGAGGGTCCCACTGGACCATGGAGAGTCCACACACCTGGCAGACAGTAGTCTGCTCTGATACCACTTGTCACCTCCCAAAAGAGCCCTTATGGGTGGTGGGCAGCCCAGGACTTAAATACTGCTTTTCGGCCCTACACCTAGCCAAATGTGGGACTATTTGTCCGTGACATTTGGCTCTCTTTCATGTGACTATGAGTTCATGGAGTTGTGTATTTTGATTTGAATATGTGACTTAATTTGCAATGCCAAGAAACATTTTTTTTATTGATTGGTTAAAATTAAGTTTGTCACATCGTATATAGAATTATTATTTACATATACCTATATTGGTTGGATAATCCAATCAAACTATGTTTAATGAGATATTTATTATGAACCATTTGGAATAATAGATAACTCGCAATATGAAGCATCTGGTCATCTACAATATGATCTTATGAAATCATCCAAAATATAGCTCTAACTTTGCCATCAATGTGGAGCTATTAAATTCACTGGAGTGTAACATAAAATCTAGCAAAAGGTGAAAAACAAAACACATTAGATGCTAAATGAAGAGATAAAAATTACCATAACTTATTTGGGATTATCGACTTGCATTGTAGGTGCCCAAAGACACATATAACTATAGCTCTAATTTAATTCATAAATAGGCCACAAACTAAGATAGATATATTATAAATTCTTTTTAATTTAATTTTTTAGAGTTGTGGCCCTCTTTCATGTGACTATGAGCTCATGGAGTTGCGTATTTTGATTTGAGTATGTGACTTAATTTGCAATGCCAAGAAACATTTTTTTTATTGATTGGTTAAAATTAAGTTTGTCACATCGTATATAGAATTATTATTTACATATACCTATATTGGTTGGATAGTCCAATCAAACTATGTTTAATGAGATATTTATTATGAACCATTTGGAATAATAGATAACTCGCAATATGAAGCATTTGGTCATCTACAATATGATCTTATGAAGTCATCCAAGATATAGCTCTAACTTTGCCATCAATGTTGAGCTATTAAATTCACTAGAGTGTAACATAAAATCTATCATTTGTTAAGACTATTAATCCGAAGTAGAAGATAGCACATTGTGAGTACTTGTCAATCGATAAAGTGTTGTTGCAACAACCCATGACTTTCATTTTATTTTTAATTTTTTATTTTGCACCAACCCATAAAATTATGATAAAATCTCAAACAAAAACAATGCATGAAGATCAAGGGTCAATGCCAAGTACAAATCTCAAGGCATGAAACACGATCGACCATCCTTCCCTTCCATTTTCAATGAGATATTTAGGGAAAACTTCAATTTCATAGTCACTTAATTATCACTTACATCTCAATGTCTATGAACATAACTTGTCTAACTCTTACCAACTCAAACAAAGTCTTCTCCCACATCATTCATTACCATGCATAACTTTTAAGGCCCTTAGAATCCCTTGTTAAGTCATTTAACCCTCAACGATACAAAGAACCCTTTGATCAAACACATTACCTTTGCTAAAAAGAATTAAAAAATCTCTTGTTGCATCAATAATAAGATTCTTTTGGTCACCCCTCTTATATGGATCAAGTCCAAGGCCTTCAAAGATGTTACGATCAATGAACTTGAAAGCAAAGTTGAAATGAAAGACTGCTCCAACTATTTATTTTTTTAATATAATTACATATAAGAATTGCCCTGCATTGAATGTATAACAATTTCGAAGAAATTACAATCTTGTTTTCTCAAAGCTTTTAGTTGTTTATTAGCGTATTCACATGGAAACAAAACCTAATAAATTGTACATCAATTGGCTGTTTGTACGTAGTTTGCAAGCAATCCCAATGAATATCAATGTTCAAACTCCATAATTGAACATGCCTAGGGTTGGACCCAGAAAGGGACCTGGGAGGGCAATTGGGCCCCCCTCAAATTCAGATTTTTACTTATACGAAAGAGCAATTTGGCATTTTGCCCCTCCTAAAATATTAGTTCAACCGCTTTTGAAATATTGTTTTGCCCTTAGTTGCCCTAGCCTATGTTCCACCCCTGAACATGCCTATGAACATTCTTAATATTTAATTTTACTTGAGATTTACAAAAAAAAGCATGCTTTAGTAAAATATAGCCTTAAATTGATTGTATATAAAATATTAAAAAACTAAAAATTATATTACCTAAATTGAGATCTCTTAAAACATCATAGAAAATGTTGGTCATTTCTCGTTTATGAAGAAGATTTGTTTTATAAATTTATAAATATTTTTTTTTGCATTAAATATTTAAAGTAAACTTAAAAAACAGTTCTTGCATTATAACTTTGAGTGAAAGATTAAAAAAAAAATTGCCTAGTTTTAAAAATATTAACATTTTGTATATTGCAAGGCTAAAATAACTTTTAAATAAATATAGTAGATTATTCAGTGAGAGCTTAAGACTTCAAGTGGTGCTTTATGATCTACTTCATTACTTAGAAGCTCTTAAGGAGTGAAATTTTGAAAAAAATTTGCAAAATTCTGAAACATTCCATCAAATGATCTTTGTTATTTATTTTAATCATCGATCATTTTTTTTGTATTTAAGTATTTTATTTACCTCAAAATTAAGTGGTTTTGGGCTCATTGAAATGTTCTAATTGAGCAGGCCATTTTTGCAGAAGCTTTGTAGTTCATTTAGTCATCTAATTAATATCATAAATTCTCTAATAATATTTTACACATTTAATTTTTGCTAACTTAGATTTAGAATGAACAAATTTTAAGTGTCTCAACTTGAATATTATATTGAGATTCAATGATTCGTGTTTAATTTGCATTTTTTTTGTTGAGATAACAATTCATACTAAGTTATTTGAGTCAAATAACCATATACATTAGAATAAAAAATGAAAAGAATTAATTTATTCCTTAATGTATGTTTTAATAAGGGGGATTTACATACATGCCTCACAACTCTTATAGATTTACATATCTAAAACTAAAATTTTTTTTAGTTAAATGCATTTCTCTCAAATATTTTACACCGCATTAGAAATATCCTAATTATTAACATTTTTAAAAAAATGAAATACACATTTTCATGCATAAGTTTATAACATCAAGAGTTATAAATGTAAAAGTTAACTATAGGTGTAAGATGTGTAAATGCATAATAATTGTATGATATTGTTGAATCTGAGATTGTCAATGAATTACACTTAAGGAATAGAACGTACATGAGGAGGGAGAGAGAGAGAGAGATGAACATTAATGAATAGTGTCAATATTCTCTATTTTTCATAAAATATTTTAATTATTTATTTATAGAGGAGATAGTACAATTGTGATATTATATCTTTAACCCTGTTTGGAAATGGTATGTACTAACGTAATTCGCCCAACTGCCTTCTGGCTCGACCGATTAAGCTTAGTTGACTTCTGGTCGAGTGGTCGACTCAGTCGAATAAGCTTGGTAGGTAGGGTTCGGTCGACGAATCCAGGATGATTGACTATCTTTGATCTTTAGTTAGGGGTCTTTGAATCTCCATGGGATGATCAAAGATATTTTTGTGGGACTATATATTTCATTATGTCTGACTCCTATGGGATAACTATCACATCTAGTCGACTTTTTCAATAGTAGAGGACTTGAATGTTCTAGTCTTATTTTTGGTTGAATTGTCTATAATTGGATCACCAGGTCGTCTTCTACTTTGTCTTTTGGCTTATGCGGCTTTGGCCTTACTGCCTTGACTGGTTTGGTCAGATGCTCCTCAAGATCTCCTATATTGAATATCTCCCTACCATATTCTTTTCTTCTAAATAATTAAATGTCCTTGAGATAAATGTATCCAATATTTCAATGTATGGATATGCAAGTAGATTTCTCTTTTAAATGAGTCACATGCGAGCTCTATAGGGCTGAAGCTGGCCCACTGACCTAATATCCCCGGCGAACAAATCACATCCAAATTCTGGGTGCCGGTGCTGTACTTCTCCAATAGAAAACCGGTCACGAACCGGCCCACCACCACAATCACGTGGGACCCGCCTGATCCATCTCCCGCTATCTGTTGGCCATTTTTTTTCCTTCTAAAAAAAAAAAAAGGAATATTTTCCACATGGAGCGCGGATCAGCTTTAGGATGACGTGTCACGGGCTACTCACAAGGCCCGGACTCCAGCCGCCTTCAAATTTAATTTAGACCGCCGCCATAAGTCCGGATTCCTCTCTGCTCTATATGGATAATACACCTTGATATTTTGAAGCCGCTTTGCTGCTTTTTCCTCGATTATCGGGTTTTGCTTGGCCGAGGTTTTTTCGCCTTTCTCTGCGATTAGGGTTTCCTTCGATCCTTTTTTGGCCTAGAACTTTGTGAAGGCTCAATAGGCAATTGGCTGCTAGGGTTTCGGGCTTGGTAAGGTTTTCATCTTGGCAATGGTCCGTTCGATGAGAGAGTGGAGCGGAGAGGAGGCGAAGGGAGATGCCTCTGATCGGTTTGATCGGTCTCAGGAGAACGAGGATTGCGATGAATCGACGGTAATTGAGGGATCAGAGCCATCGGAAGATTCGATTGATGTTGGAAGCAGTGGAGGACGTTCCGATGCCTTGCCTGGAAGGATCAGAGATGTTCTTCGTGATGGAGCGGATGCTAATCTGCTGCTTGGGCGCGAGGAGGTGGAGAATGGGATTTTGCAGTGGCTTCAAGCGCTAGATCTTCAGGTGATCGGGGGATGCCGTGCGGATGAGAGGCTAAGACCTCTGCTTAAGCTGAATGCTTCTAGCGGTGCTGCAGAAGACCAGTTTATTGCCCAGCTTCTTCAGGTCCGTGTGAGGCTTTTTTTATTTGTTTGGTATGATGCTGGGTTCATAAAATACAACTTTTATGTTAAGCGTGCATTTTTTTAACAGAAAACTTCCTTCACTTTATCATTTCCTCGGCACTTGACTTTTTGGATATGCTTTTCTTTCCGCTTATTTTTTTTAATGCAAGTCAGCAATTTGGTTTTTAGTTAGCCAGTTGTAAATTATTTTCGCGTCTAAATTACACAGGTCCTCATTTCTATATTTCATTGGATCTCCACTTCTTGAAGTGATATTCTTCTATAACTAAGATTACGGATATGATCTTGCTCTCAAAGATTTGTTGTCATGAAGAGACGTTTTATTGCAACGATTTCTTTTTCTAGAAGTTGCTAATGAATGTTGAAATCCTGGATGCTGTAAACGAGAGATTATAATGTCTTGGTTTCTCTTTTGTTGAAATTAATATCTAGACCTGACCTATCCATTAAATGTTTCATTATTAAGGTACTGACTGTTACCACTTTGTTTTTGTTCACCACCAGCATTTTGAAGCATCGGAAGTTGCAGTTCTTGCCCGTTGCTTATGTCTTCCTCTTGTTTCTGTTCGTGTGGGGAAGATTAACAAGCAGGGAAGCATGTTATTCCCAACTCCCTTTAGGTAGCAGAAATTACTGATGCTTTATTATATGCATGTCTTCATTTGAAATTCATGCTTATGAAATCTATCAATCAGATCAATTGCTCTAATATGGTGTGAAATGTCCTTTGTTACTTAAAATTATGTTCCATATAGGAGATCCATTCTTGTGCTAAATCAAATTTCCTATTTGATAGTTTGCCTATTTTCCAAATAAGTGTTTTACTCTTGTTAAACCCTGTTATATATTAGATAGTTTGATTAGATAGTTGTTTCTACGATAGGCATTATTTAATTTGATATGATATAATGTTGTACATATGAATACAATGTCTTATATTATTAATGCATAGCTATGCATTTGAAATCTTTGTTTTTGCCAATGTTGAAGGTGATTTGGAACGATTTTTTGATCTTTTTCTTGTGATATATATGTGTGTGTGTGTTACTCGATCAGACCAATATTTTATTATATTTCCACATACTTCATCTAAAATTTGTTTGGCATATTTACTTAGGTTAATGGTTGAGTTAAAGAGGTTTTATTTCACGGTTTGCGTATAGATTGAGGGTCTGTTTGTGGCAGTTGCAGTTTTTTGAAGAGCAACTAGAAGTTGCTGCAGAAGCAGCTGTTGCTTTAGAGGATATAGGGTTTACCACAAATTCTATTTTTTAATTTTCAAAATGTTAAACCATAGTTTTCTGGTGAGATATATAGAGCAATTCTGCAAACTTTAAGTAGAGATTTTGATTGTACATTTTTTTTTTCATTTTTTTATTAAAAAACTCTGGCACTTGTTGTTGCTTTGCAATCAAAGTATAAATGATGGAACATGGTTTTCATCATCTTATAACATACTAGGAGTGAAGAATTTTAATTTTAAATGAATTTTGGGGTTCTTATATATTATATATATATAAAGCCAAATTGCATGCATGCACAGAAACAACTCTAGGAAAATTTTGGAACTAAATAGCTTAGGAGATGGACATGTCAATAAGTTCTCACAGCAACACTCAACAAATATAGCACCTTATATTTTTTTGAGGTGTTGCCGTGTGAACTTATTGACATATCCATCTCCCAAGAACTTTCAAAAATTTCCTGGTGTTGTTTCAATTCTCATTTGCTTATACTCCTCCCAGCAATTTACCAGTTAAAGTTACCCTTGCATGTGTTTTGGCTGCTAATGAAATTATTTTTTGGATCAGATGCTCAATATACTACAGACATTTCTAGGCCAAATTATGCACCAACATTTAACTTGCATTCTACTTGAAGTTCTAGACCAGCTGATCTTAGGGATAGTTTGAACTAGATATTTGGTTTTTTATTGTTCACAAATCTCTTAGTAATTGTTTTGAAAGGTAACAAAAATTATAATTCTTCTCTCAAGCAAAGCTTTGAAATATTATAGATATAATCATTTGAAGTGACATTATCAGAAGCTCAGCTTGCCCAATGTTGTGTTATCAAACTTGATCACACTTATTATGCAAATGAGTTTTGAAGTCTTCGTACGACTTTTGATATGTAGAATTCATGCTGGAGTATAAAGCTTTTAAATAGTCTAAACAAAATGATTGTTATACCGGACACTCCAGTTTCGCTTGTTTGCCATAATATTTCCGTATCATTTATAATTTTCAACGAATTACAGTGGTGTCTGTTGAAGGTGACTCAACTAGATGTTTTATCAAATGTGTCTTATATATTTTATAAAATAACCTGATAGTTTTCATCATTCGTTTACAAGGAAAGAGTTTGACAAAGATTGGAATGGTTTTTTGCCTGGATCTTTGAAATGCATTCTTCAATTGGGCTGGTTATGTTAGTGGTAAGGTGGATGCTTTTTTTTTTCTGTTTGTGTGAGGTGAGTTCATTTCTTAGATTGTACATTTGGAACCCTCAAGTTGTTGGTTAGAGATGATTTTAACATGTACTTTTTGGCTGGTCAAGTCACATGAAATGACATCTGTTTTTCCTTGGAGAAACAATGCTCTCGTTAAGGACATCTATGAAAACACAAGAGATGAGAATTTTTTTTTTTTTTTGCTTTGCTTTTATCATCCCCTAGTCAGAGCTGCATAACTTGTGCATTTGCATCTGTGTAGATTGACACATCAGTACATGCCATTTCATCCTTGGACCACAGAAGAAAAAAATTGAGTTTCAAGTTTACTGTCGCATTACATTGTTTTTTCCTACTAAAGTAATTATGATCGTTTCTTCTATTGTCTTGGTCCATTAAAAGTTCTCTGACACATTCAAAAAGTATTTTGTTTGCTCATTGATTCAAATAAGTAAATTATTCTACTGAAGCTGCATGTTCTCAACTTTTTCTTAAGAACATTTTCTGCTATTAATTATGCATTGCTATGGTATTTTCTCAGTTTTACTTGGTATATTTTTTTGCTGAAACTGTAACGCAGATCACTTTTGGAAGTTAATCAATGTCAATCTGTTTGTTTTTTTTTAATGTATTATTTTGTAGAAATGCAGAACATACTTGAGGAGAAGAGTTCATTGCTATATTTGTAACATTTAATTTGAACTCCCGTAAGGTCTGACTTTTATCCAATTTGTTGATAGAAAGCATATCCTGTATATGCTGTTAGTTAAATACTTGAGGATTTATGCTGTGGCACATTAATTGATGAAATTGTTCAACCCATCAAATAAATGTCTTTTCATTTGTAGGTAAAATGGCCGTGTGTCTTGTTCTGTTAAGATCTCTGATTTTTGAGGGGAAGAAGGTAGCTCCTTTCTATTATTGATATGATATCATACATCTAATAAACTGCTTTCTGTACCTACTGTTGAAGAATCCATTTGTAGTTGAACATGAAAAAAATTTTGGTATCTTTGGGAAATTCCATGATGTCTAAATATGTTCTCTTGAAATACATCATTCCTTTGATGTTGCATTAGCAGTATTGTTGCTTCATTTTTTATATTGCAACATTGTCTAAAATCACGTTCAAGTTTTATAAAGCTTTTTTTACTTTTTTCAGTGAACAATTATTTCTGATTATTGTTGCAGTTTGATTTAGTTCAGCCAATAATTTCACTATTTTCTTCTTTACCTTCAATAACTAACCTGTCCTGGTTTAGATATTCACAACAGTGGTTAACTACTGGAGTAATCACTTAATTCTCTTTAGTGTTTAGTTACTTTATTATGATTACTTTGTGATATTTATTTCTTTTTAATTTTTTGTTATATTTTACTAGAAGATTAATTATTCTTTTTACATCTTCTAGTGTGCTCTCTGAAATAATTCACTCTTTTGCTGAAGGATGTTTTTTTTAATCATACATTATGCTATTTCATTTCAAAAGTGTCTCGGGAGCATTAAAATTAGATGAAATAGATGTAGCAAGTGCATGGAGCTCCAGCCCCTGCATTTTTAAAAGGAGTGTCCTGTGACTCCAACCTCGGAACCCGTTTCACACCACGATAAGAACTTGTCATAAATATCATTTTAAGTCTTACTCACAAGCTTTGAAGGACATTTCTAGCACATTTTAAGTGGGGTTTTGATTTCTATCTGGTTAATATTTTAATGGCATTTCTAAAAAAAGGAAAAGAAAAGGAGGGACGTCATAACACTGTTGTTTCACATCATCGGAATACTTATATCCTTTATTTTTTATAATGGAACAGGTTCTGCATGTTGTAATTAACTTTCTGCTTTGGCTAATTGTTGGACAATTTTGAAAATTTAATTTTATCGTACAACAAATGTCAGAGCAGCGTAATTTTGTTTTAGAAAGTATTATATAAATACTTTTTTGTTTGCTCTTCTTTTTTTCCATGATGTGTTTTTTCTATCTTTTTCCACTTTCGTTTACCTCTTATGTTGTTTTCCTCTGAGTAGAAATGAGATGTAATTTATTGATAATTCTACTGCCCTTTCACTTGAGATTATTCTTGTGATGTTTCAATGGGCGATTCTTTTCTGCTGATGAGTGATTTAAAATTAAGTTTACTAACAATTTTATATGTTATTATTTTCCTTTAATAGGGGTTTTCTGAGTTTGACCCTTCTTCCGTCATCTCACATGCGCTTATCTTTTACTGAGGATGATGGTCACATTGAGAGACTGGCATTAATTAGCAACGACGGGGAAAGTTCTTCAGTGACTATTGAAAGTATTTCATCTGATAATTCTGGCCGTTCATTTTTGATAAAGTTCCCTGGTTCTGGGAACATGTACTTTTGGTGCTCTGAGAAGTCGAAGACTAATGGCATGGAATTACTTGTGAAGGTTAGTTTTAAAAACTTTGAAGTAGAAATGCTTACTTGCATGATTTTCTGAGCAAACCGTCTTTGTAGACATATTGAAATGAGGTTCTAGTAAGAAAAACCTTTTTTTTTTTCTTATTCATGCCTTGGAACGATGGTGTACGAGTACTTGATGAACCTATTATTGAAAGTATCAGTGCATGATGAGCCTCTTATTGAAAATATGAGATGCGGACATTCTTTTGTATGAAGTGTAATCCATATAACTTAAAAATTAAAAATAGTTTATATTAACTGCAAACATTAAATAATTATGAAATGATAGTTAATGAAAAAGAAATGACAATTGATCCAGAAAAATTATGTTTTTAAATAATCTAACGAGCAATCGTCCAACCCAACCACATGAATCTCGGTTACTTCACAGATGTTATTCATTTAAATATTAGAAAAATATATCTACTTTAAGATAAGAAAAGTCATAACTTATGAATAATGTTGTTGTTATTGTATGCCTGTATGATTTTCCAAGGAATAAACAATCTCTTATAGATATAGTGAAATGACATTCTTTCGAAAAGAACTCTTATTTTCTCCTCCTTGGATCACAATTCGATCAACAGATTTTAATGCTTTGTGGACAATAATGGACCTTTCTAGAAGAATTGAAACCTATGTGCTATTTAACTGGAAATGGGTGAATACAACAGTGCACATATTTTGTCATAGTTGCTTTCTCAACCACAACTAGCAACCTTGCATCGTCCTCTCCACCACCCGTAGAAGGGCATAAGTGAGAACCCGAAAGGGGGGAGGCATAAAAAATACTTGTTCTGTTCATTAATTTAATGTTTTGCTACGATAATTCATTTGTGAAAAACTCTTTTTTTCTCACCTTTCATAAATAGCTGATAATACTCTTGAGTTGTCGAATGATTATGGAGTAATTTGACATATTTCAATGAAATTAAGCTCTTATGATATGGTGTGTGGTGAAGCAGATGAAAGATCTACTTATCAGGAAGCCTTCGCTTGCTTGTTTGACCGGGATATCCAAATCTCGGCTCGACTCATTTGCTATTTATCTTCGGGCTTTTATTCTTGCTTCATCAAGCACTCCAGCAGCTGCATCTACTTCTTCAAGTGGCCTACTGATGGCTACTAGTTTTCATTCATCATCAGAAGCTGATCTTTGCTGCCAATCAAGATCTTCCCATGTCCGAAGCCCTGCAACTCATGTGGCAGAGGTGCATCCTGTCTCTCTAAGCAGTCTTAGCTCTAGATCAAATGCTTTCAAAGATGGAACCCTTAGAAATTCATCTTTAGCCAATGGTGTCCGTGAGAATGTGGGAAAACGAGTAGTGGATTCATGCATCCATATCCAACCAAGTACATCATCTGCCTCATTGCACGATCAATCTACTAACCTAACTGAAGCAGGAAATGTGGAAAAACATGAAAGTCCAGGATTGTCTTCTCTTTCCTCTCTTTTGGTTTCATCAAGTCCGACATTCACTATTCCTTCACCAATGAGCAATCAAAATTCCTTTTTCTCACCATATTACTGCTGGTGTCCTCCCTTCCCCACCTCCCTGCAGTTTAACACAACTCATCATCTTCCCACTGCATCCGAATTAATGCCTCTTCCACCGCTATCCACGTTCTTATCTCCTGCAGCCCCACCAGAATCATTGGTCTCAACCAAATCTCCATTAAATGTTACTGAGTTCCCACCTCTAAAACTTCCTTCTCTTCTTCCAGATCCTTTGGTTCACCTTTCTATGCCCATACCCTCACTCTGTCCCCTGCCAAGCTCCCAGCAAATCGCAACATTCACGCCATTCATATCAGATCCCATCGTCCATATCCCAGTCATCGACTTCTGCTCCTCCGGGCAGGGTTACCTTGTCAGTGCGGGGCCTTCTATGTCTGCATGCATTCCACCTTTGCCCATCAGCCATGCAAGTCATCAGCTTCTCCCACCCTCTGAGTCTCTAGCTGAGAAGAATGCAAGAGAGACGCTTAGGTTGCTCATGGCTTCGACGCCAACGCTGACTCCTCCTAAGCTGTTCAATGTACTTCCTGAAGTTCTTAGCAGCATGAACCTATGTGGAAATGAGAGTTCGGTAAGTGCCATATAGCTGCTTCCTCCACCCTCCCCTTCCCCAATTGTTTCAAGCATCTTGAATATTCCTTGTTGCTATTGCATTTTACTCCAGGTGCCTGGAAACGGTCTATTGGAGGGAGCTGTTGTTGATGTAGAATCAGCATCCTCGTCTGCCGGTGATACAAGCGATGAAGCTTTCAATGAAGAAATGGAAGAATGTAATTGCCCAAAGAGTAATAATTGTCGAATGTTTAACCATGAACCTGATGAAATATAGTTTGGTGGTGATCTGCTTTTTGTGCATATGGATATATATGATCAGTTTGCTGCTCGAGAAGGCGCACGGTAGTAGCCCCTTCTCCATTCCATAATGCCGTGTGTGATGCTTTTTTGGCTCGCTGCATATTTGTTATTTTCCTTATATTTTTCGGTTTGTAATATCGTGGAAATTTTGGTATTTTCTCGAATTTATTCGAGTTTATTTGATAAGAAATTTCTGCAACAGATGTGAACATACGGAATGGACAGAGTAGCTAGGGTTCGAGTTGTCCGTTTCAGGCAAAATCAGTTATTTATTTATTTTTATAAAAAGGGTGAGTTGGGATTATTTTAGATATTTTAATTTTCCGAACAGCGGCAGAACAAAAGCCAGTTTATTTGTTTGGACAGAAGCCAAAGTCGAAGGGGGTAGTGATGTTGGTGCAGGATACATTTTGGAGTTTGTGTGGTACTTTTAATTGCCTAGATAGTGGATTACATGCCAGCAGCCAGCGTAAGAGTGGCCCGCTGATATTGATTGTGACTTGTGTGGCGAAGAGAATAATAATGAGGTGGATACCAGTTCATTTAGATTAGATTTCATAAGTTGGGTTGGCAACTAAGGCTACCGTGTGTCTATAGAGGGGGGGGGGGGGGGGGGGGGAAACTGGCTGGCTTGTTAAATGAATGAATATATAAATATTAGTTGAACTTGATATAATTATAAAAGTAAAATATGATTGAACAAAATAATGAGCTTTTTGTTCTCTGGTGGAAATGGCATGATCTGAATGTGCTGGGCAAGATGGCATAAAGTTTTGTGGAGGTGATTCAAGGATGATTTAGGATTGTAAGGCACCATGGAAGCAACGTGGTACTTGATATAGGAAGCTCAATGTGGTGGATCGAGATTAGAGTAATTTAGGTAATCCTGGTTTTGGGAGGTAAAGAAGATGAAGATTGAAGAGTAGAGAAAAAGAACTTATGGATGAACAGGAAAGTTCAGAACTTTTCTATGATTTGATAATTTAAAGTGTATCAAATAAATAGAATTTTGATCTTATAAATTCTAGGATTGGCATTTAATTTGATGCATGTTAAAAATGGTTTTAATTGTTAACAAAAACGAGCCAATAAGCACATGAGCTCCTCTTTTTTTATTTTTTTTCTTTTTTGGGAACTAATGTGAGACCTCCCTTCATTGATTGGCTTGATCAGCGTGCTTGAGATAGTATTGCGTTTTTGTTTTTTTTTTAAGAAGGATTGGTGATTCCTTTGTTCGATGAGTTCGAAGTATCAACTTGTAGATGCCAATTTTTCTTCTACAGTGAAGTTAATGGATTGAATTTTACTGTTTAATAAATGAGAATAATTTAGAGAAAGCTTGTCAAATCAAATCTAGATTCTCCATAAACATTGATGATAGTTCATTTTTCTAGTGTAATGTTCATCCCTTCAATGACAACTACATGATGGAAAAATATCAACAGAGGTCTTAGGAAACTTTGAGAAATTAGGAATTCTCCATTGAGCACATTGGAAATAGCGATTGGATGTTGTAGATGGGAATGTTCAAGTGAATATATGTTTATTTTTATTTATTTGCAGTACATTGGTTAAGAGATTATGCCTTTAACCATGGTTTTTAAAATAGGATTGGACCGATCGGTTCACTTGTGAACACGTCATTTGACTGGTTTTGTCCAAAGTCGAAACTGTATTTGCATAACATCGGCTTTGAACCTAGAATCAATCTGGGTTTTAAAGAACATATTAGTTCTTCCATTGTGAACCCATCATTTGGTCAGTTTTGTCCAAACTCAAAATCATTTTTGCTCCGAGATGAGATTGAACCCTCAAACCAATAAATTGATCTGGTTTTTTAATACAATATGGTATTAATAAAAGCATTCTACTAATACTTATTAAGAGTTGTTAATAATAGCCGATTCTAGCTATATTAAAATAAGAATGGGCAGTATTTATTTAATTATTGCTGTATCACAAGCAAACAAAAAAATTATACATCATAAAATGTTGTCACATGTCATTTAGTGCTTCTTGTCGTATTTCTTCGTTGGTTGATTGCACCTGCAAAAGCCGGTGACCATAATTAATTGAATATAGGCTATTTTTTTAGCTTTTTTTTCTTTGAATTTAGGAATGATTATTTCATCAGAAATAATGTCGGGCATAATATAAAATGAAAAAAAAATATATTGGGTAAACATATATCAATTAAAATTTTAATTATAACATGTTTAATCTTTTTAATTTACTTCGACATGAATGCACAATTGATTAATCATACATTACAACCATCTCAAAGTATATCCAAAAACAATGAAATTTATCCTAAGGTATAATTGAGAAAAAAATTGAATCAAAATATTGATTAAAAGTAGATGGAATGAGCTCCAAAGTTTATAGACATGCTACAATGTAAGTGTAATATTTATTATTCATATATTGCACATCTTATTGCTTGCTTAAGAATTTTAAGGTACATCGTGATAAAATTTTGAACGGAATACCTTGACAAGATTTTTTATAATTTGTATTTATTGATGCGTGCTAGAAAATTTAGGACAACAGAGTAGTAGGTTATTGTCTTAGCGTGGTACGAAAATTCACGACAACATACTCAAAAAAAAAAAAAAACAAAAAAAAAAAAAAAAAAACTAATAATGACACCAGAAACCTGAAAAGGGAAAAACCACGAGGTTTGACCTAACTGAAGAGTTCTGTTATGAAAAGATGATTAAAGCTGAAATCACTTGTCTCATAGGTGGGAAAGGATTATAATGTTTCTCAAATTACAACTTCGACTGGCGATGACCGATAGCGATTGGTGGCATCCTATCAGTGGTGGTTGGCGGCGGTCAACGACGTTCATCGACGATCGACGACAATCGTTGGTGGTCGTCGGTGGTTGTTGATGGTTGATAGCAACAAGAGTGACATTGAACTTCAGTTTATTCTCAAAGTTTTAAGTTCTTTCTCAAGCCTGAAGCTCTCCCTCCACATCCTCATGAGAGGGGTGGTCTTTATTTATAGAGTTCTCGGTGCAATTAATGCAGGAATATGAATCAATTTGATATGACGACTAAGAGAGCTTCCCTTAATCAAATGACATTTGATGAACATTTGAGTGCTTAAGGATGTCAGAATTAAGTGATCTTGGGCTCGTTGGATTCATCTTGTCAAGACTCTTGATTTCACTATAGACTCGTCAAAATTGACATTTATTTGTCCTTCAAAATGTTTCCAAAAAACTTCCAAAAATGTTTATCGGTTTGATAGGGTTTGATTTGGTTCATATTAGACCAATTTTAGTAATATTAGTTTCTTTTTGTCGAGCGGGGCAATTTAACTGTAAGTTTGCTAAAATCAGTGTTCTGAACGGCTTCTTATTGAGGTTGAATGTATTTTGCTCCAAAAGTCACATCGAGATCCGAGTCATGCCTCAAAATTCATGTTAGATGATAGAGTTTTGTTGGAGGCGTGTCATTTATACATTGAGATAAAATTCATTCAAGGAGACTCAATGCAATTTGTGTAGATGATGTTAACCTAAAGTTAACTAAAATTTCTTTAGGGCACTTGTAGCTATTTAAAATTATTTGTTTAATTGTTTTGAATTAAATTTTTTTTTAGAAATTTTTAAAAACACTAATTTTTTTTTCTCTTGCAGGTAGATAGCAATATCATTAGACCTGTTATGCTTAGAGGCTATTTGGTCGTTTGTAAAAAGACTGCAAAGTAAACTGAACTACAGTGTATTATAATTGTAATATATTATGTTTATAGTAGGTTGTTCGGTTGTCTGTAAATTAAATACAAGAAAATTACTTTTCATGTTTGGTTTTATGCATGTAAAGAAAAATAAAAATTAGTATATTCAAAATACTTGAGCTTATTTGATTGTTTATAAAAACAAAATACATATCAAGTATTTATTATATTTATTTAAAATTTTGTAAAAAAATACATATGAATTATATATTGATGTGTCCGCATTCCTACCAAACCAATGACTATTAGCCATATTCATTTTGTAGAACGATAAAGAACAACCATCAAAAAGGCTTGCAACATCAAGAAACAAAGAATCATACTGAAACACAACTTCAACTCTCTTGATTGCAGTTATAACCATGAAAACATCTAGACCAAGATATAAACATGTGAAAAACCCCACTCACGCAAGTTTTGCTTCTTAAATTTTGCACCAAAAGAACGATATATCAAAACCAAAGATCAAGTAACCAAGAAAAAACACATTAATCTGTCAAATCACAGAATAAGCCATAAAAAATTGTAGAAAAACCTAGCATGGAACAGTCCATCACGACCAAAAAACCAACCCTCTTAAACCATTCCTCATCCTCACCGTCAGTCTTGTCCGAAGTCGTTTCATCCTCCGTCCGTTGAGAATTATCCTCCTCATCGTTAGGGCTCGCGGTCCTACCCCCGCTTCAATCTCCTCCTCGTCTTCTTTTGTCAGATCGTCCTGCATCTCGTATGCTTCCGAGGAGGAGAGAGAGGAACTAAAGGTCTCCTCCTTTGATATATCTAAATGATTCCTCGGTGTTGCCAACACTGGTTAGAGAATAACCGATCAACTATAAGGGCTTTCTTCAAAAGGATTGTAGCCCAGAGACACCAGTCCAGTTCCCCAAGAGAGAATGGTCATCCTCTCCTGAACCATTCTCTAAGCCCACCGAAAGTGAAGACACTCGGAAGGAGAAGTCGCATCATTTGTGCTTTTCACTCCTTTTGGCCGAAAAGATATTGTGGGAGAAATGAACTAGGCAGAATTTTCCAAATACACTAAAACCTTACTTCACTTATTTTTTTCACTGCAGACTAACACATAAAAATGAAAATACAAATGTTTATATTACTTAACACCATAAATATTTCCAAGAAAACAAAAAGGGCATTTACATTCATACCACACGATTGATGTGTATTTACATATTTGATATGTGTCAGAAGATTTGTGCGGTAGAGTGATTCTTTAGTGTCGGGTAATTAAAGTGACAATTAGAGAGTCGGCTTCAATTTTTGATGTCACGAGTATAATAAGTCCTTCTAATTGATATGAGACTATGTTCTATTCATACATCACATCTTATAGTTGAAAACATCCATTGAAATATTCTAGTATGTGATTTTGACACGAAACTAGGGTTTGACTTGATATGGCCATACTCGGGAGTGTTCATTATT